CGGACTCCAAGCCTCTACGAACGAGGGACCAAGCCGTACGTCTCTCTGCCCCGGGCCACTTCACTCTGGACGATAGCTGAATGTTCATTTGCAAGGACCGGAACATGAACAGATTTGCTTCCTGGGCAAGATGCCGCGGTGCCGACCGCCCGATTATCCAATTCTCGTGCTCCCAACATCCAGGTTTGTTATTAAGCATGAATTGAGCAGTTAGCCCCCCCTCTCCCCCCCTCTCCCCCCCTTTCCCCCGTTGTCTTGCCTTGGTGGCGGAGCAGATCTTGCACTTCCAAGGATGAGGGATGAGAGCCTCAACTACATGTACATCCTCCAGGTTCCCCACGGATATGGCGAGTCGATCCGAGTAGCCGTGCAAATTCTCCTCAAACAGAGCAAGGGATTCAATGTTCATCCAACCTTCTCACGATGGACAAGTCACAAGGCTGGTAGCACCGTGCCCGCCTGGACCGCAGATCAGAGACAGGGAAAACAATCGGTTGAAATCAGGGCGCCAGACTCAACCGCTTGTATCACATGTTGTCCGGCTCTCATCAATGGCGCCAAGCATGGTGCCACCAGGCCCAATCTAATCGAATGACAAGGTACAATGCCATTCGAATCGCCACTACAGCACAGCACAGCCTTGGTCAATCGTGAAGGAAGGATATCCGATCAACGCACACCAAAAGCGCACTAGGTGCTTGCAAGTCCCGAGTGTGACACTCCCGCTCATCCACAGAGGCGGCGCCGTGGTGACACTGGGCTGAAAGTGGTTGGGCCTGTACTGTCGGGAGAGGCAGAAAGCAGTCAGTCAATCTGCAAGCCAGCCAGGTAGGCAAGTAGGTAGGGATGGGACCCCTCAGACCTTGGACAGGTAAGGGAAAAGGGCCCTCCCAAATCAGGCGACTCCTCGATGTTCTGTGTCGACTGATTGGTTCAATCTCGCGGTTCTGGCATGGCACGGCGCGACCGCAGGCTCGTGCAACTGCCAAGCGTGCTTCAGCAAGCATCCTCTGAAACGACTCCTGTCGGGACAACCGCATCATCACGATCAATTCTGCGACTCGCAAGTCGCTCCGACCTCTCCTGCCCCTTCCATTCGCTTCGCTACCTTTAGTTGTATCTGTTTCTCTTTTCGTTCCCGACGACTTCTTTCTGGCTCAGCATTCGCGGCAGTGGCCCCATCCACGTTTCGACCTGTCCTCTCTTTCAGTGCGAATCCCTCCGCCGAAACCTGGGAGCCGGCCTCCTCCACATCGTCTTGCTCGCGACTCCAGGACCAGACGTGCCACCCGCACAAAGTGCTTCGACCCAGAGAGACAAACCAACCCGGTCGACCACTTGCCCTTTGGGAACCAAGTCTTTCACATTCACGACTGTCCATATTTGTTTTTCCATCTTCTACGACATCGTCTCGCTGTGCGGTCGAACTTCACCAGATACTGCTCTGGTCACGGTCTTTACCCCGACGTCCACCGAACGCCATACCATCTCGCCAAACCGCTTCACTCGAGACGCCGGCCGTCTTTCTTCGCACCGTCACCGCCAACAATCTCCTACGAACATCAGCCGATATCTGTACACCCACACAGTCCTCGAGACCGCCAGCAACATGGTCAACAAGATCCTCGCGACCTTCGTGGTCGCCGATGTGCTTTTCCTGATCACCGGAGCCGTCACCTTGGGCTTCTCCCTCATTGCCCGCAACAACATGTTTGAGCAGCCGGACGAAGGCCAACAGGCTGCGAGAAACTTGATCTATCAAAAATTCCCGTTCGAAGCTGGTATCGCCAATGCAGCCTTTATCTTCATCACCTTTGTGATGACACTGCCCGGCATCATCACTCCGACCCGTGGCTGGCTCAAATTGGCTGCCTACCTCATCACTTTTTGCGCCCTCTTCTCCCTTTGCGTGGGTGTCTACCTCTGGGTCCTGACCCTCACCACCCAGTTTGACTTCTTCGCCATTTGGATCGCCCAGGAACCCGGCGTTCAGAATCTCATGCAGACATCGGTAGGAGAAACATGCGCTTAACCAACCGTTCGGGAGACGAAACTGACACTCCTCCAGTTCAACTGTTGCGGATACTTCAACAGCAGTTCTCCTGCCTTTGTCACCAACGATCTTTGCAGCTCCCCAGCCGCTGCCGCTCTTCAACGCGGCTGCAGTGGTCCCGTCACCTCGTACTCCAACATACTCATCGACGGCATCTTCACTGCTGTCTTCGGCATGGTCGGTGTTGACGCGCTTCTGATTATCTGCCTTGCTGTGCTACTGGAGGACCGCAAGGAGCGCGAGCGCTTCCGCCACATCGATGAGAAGAGCGGATACCGCAGCCTCTAGACGACCGTAAAGCCGATCTCCCATCTTGGGACTTTGTCAACTTCTCCCGATGCAGCCAAGGCGTGTTTGCCTCGGATTGATTTTAGATATTTCACTCTCTCGCATCAGCTGACTGCTGGGTTTCCTTTTCTGGGTTCAAAGCGGAAGACAGGCTGGGACGTGTCTCCTCGTTTTACCCTGCCATAAAGCGCATATAGCTTCCTGTCACGAGGCAGGTTCTCGATCAGAGGCATGGGTCACACTGGGAAGGGTCCTGCTTGCCTGCCACGGGCCAAGTATATCAACGCGAGTCCGTGACAATCATGTTGCTGGGTCTTGTCTTACTTGTCGCTTGTATTTTCTTTGTATGCATCTTTTGGCCTACGTTACCCCGAGCCACTGTGTTTAAACAAGGATGCGAAAGAGGCTGAAATGTATTCACGATTTTGAACGACTCGATAAAACTTGCTGCACTTGGCAACCTATGACGTTGTTTGCCATTTCACTGTTCGCATGCTGCGCCGATTGATTGTTGTACTGCCTTGGTTTGAATGACCTTTCTGTCAGATTGCTAAATGCATTCACCACATCAATGGCGCGCCGCGCATGCTCATATATCATGTATGCACACTGGTACAGTGAGGAAATGAAGAAGAAAGAAGTAAAACGCATCTCGCAAAAAAATGGGAAACGCTACCATGTGCTTGTTTCTCTACTATACAGGCGACTGATCATCATTTCCTTGCCTCTTCTTCCCCCGCCCGCCGCTCCTCGCCTCACCGTCTCGCGGCGCAGGCGTCGGGCTCGCGGGCGCATCTGGACTATCCCGATACGCCGGCCACGGGATGATGCTCCCCGTGCTCTCGCGCGCGCTCGCGCTGGCCCCGAGGCGCGGCGACTCGACAGCCACGCCGGCGGCCTCGGGGTCCTCCGGCTCCTTGCCGTGTCTGGACCGCCACCACTTCATCTTCCAGAGCCCGCCCAGCGCGTCCTGCAGCGACGAGTTGCTCTTGGGGCGGGCCTTGCGGGCGGTGAAGCCGGGGAAGCCGGTCGACTTTCGCCTGCGGCGCGAGGGCCGGCGGGGCGCCGAGTCGGAGCCGGCGGAGGAGGGGCCGACGACGTCAAAGGAGACGGCGCTGACGCCGCTGACGTTGCGCTTGGCGGCGAGGAGGGACGTGTGCTCGCCCGTCGGCATCGTTTTGGACCTGTGGCGGCCCGCCGGCCGGCTCTCGTTCTCCTGGTCTTCCAGCTCATCCCAGATCTCGGCTCGTTCTTGCCAGCGGAAGGAGCCCGTGTTTTTGCGAGACTGCAGCAAGGGGGTCGAGTCGCCGTTTTGCGGCGTGTGGAATGTGGAGTACGAGGTAGGGAGCGTGTTGTCGGCCTCGTCATGCGAGTCGGATCCGAGGAGGGATTCTTCTTCGCCCTCGGTGTCCTCGACCAAGCCCAGACCCGGGGCCAGGGACGACTGGCCAACGCCAGGCGTGTGCTGCTCGTCGCTCAGTCGCCACGACAGCGCCAGGACGCCCGACAGGAGAATGGCCGTGCCGAGAGCAATGAGACATGCGCGCAGGGGGCCGAGCTGGTCGGTCTGCTTGAAGTAGATCAAGCCGTCCAGGATGGCAATAATGTTATAGATGCAGAACACCAGCGGGTACAGCACGGACGTCGAGACAAGTTTCAGCCCACGGTGAAGATAGTACAGCTGGCTCAGGGCCAGCGTGATCAGAGCCAGCACGAGGGCCCACGCCTGCCAGTGGACAAACTGATTGGTAGGGCCGGACAACGTCTTAATGATCAGCTCGACCGCAGACTTGGCGACCAGCAAAGAGTGTGCGGACAGGATGCCGCTGATGCAGCCGTATGCCAGACCCCGAAAGAAGCGGAACTTTGCGTTCTGCCCGAGGTTCGAAAAGTGGTTCAGACTGTCCGTGATGATGGCGATGGCGAGCACGAGCAGCGCCTGAAGAATCATCCACACCACGAAGGTCCGACGCCCCAAGAGAGCCAGCAGTTCTTTGAGGTCGTGCGCTGGCTCCGGGATCGCGCCGAAGATGGCAATCAGCACGGCACCGGTGCAGACCAGCAGGGTTCCCCAGAGTGACCACCTTGTGAATGGCTCAGCCAGTATGAGAGTGGCGCATATAGAGTTGAAGACGAGCCCGGAGGCTTGCAAGGTCGAAAGGACAGGTAGCGGTAATGTCGAGATCTGTACCGTGCTGCCCAGGATGTTGGCGGCGATAAACATGCCCATGCCCAGCTGCCATCGTCCTCTCCTGTATGGTGGCCGTCGGACCTCGTGGGGGGCTTTCTCGTCTTCGAGGATGTGCGACTTGCGCTGCAGGGTGAGTCCCAAGCTCTGTACGCTTGTGGACATGAGGCCGACTAGGATGCCGATCTGTACATCGATTCGCTCGTTAGAGGTATACAGCAGAAAAAAAGCCCAGTCCTGTTGCAACGCACCGTGATCGTCCCCCCAGGGGAGATGCCGCCGAGTGCCCCCATTGCCAGTTGTTCGACGACTTGACTGGTGGTCAACTGGCAGTCGCCAGGGAGGATGGAGCAGTTGTGAGGCCCATATACGTGGGTATTGTTACACGCGACTCGTCACGGTTCGTACAAGAATTTGGCGGTGATTGCCTTTGTGCAGTGCAACGGCTATATCGTGGAGGGAGTCTGATGACGTGGTGACGCTACGAAACTTTGTTGATCAATGGGCGGTGATAGGCGATCGCACCAGGGGCCAGTCGCGGAACGGCGGTGTCGATGTCGGCGCGTCGGTGTCGAGTTGGGAGTGCGGCAGCGCGAAAGGAGGGAGTCGTTCAGGCGTGAGGCGGCGGTGGGTTGGAAGAAAGCCAATGTGAGACTATTCGATATGCATGTAGGGACGGGATAGAAGAAACAATGCCGGTCCATTGCTGCATCGGCACCGAATCTCGTTCCACATGGATGGTGTCACGGGTTGGCGATACAGGTACCTTTAGCTCCATGTGTGGCGGTGCTCTGTCACCTGATACCACCTTATCCCGCCTTGATGCGCTCCGCGCTAGACCGTGATGTCACAGCGTTGTGGCTTGCGCAGAAAAGGCGCGGCTGAGGTAAGGGGAGGTACCTTTGGGGTGGGGATTCGTGCTGGTGTGGGGTTCTGGCCTGTGGCTGCACGAGGCAGGCAAGCAAGCAAGCAGTGTGTGCCAAGCTGGCTGGCGAGTGGACGGCCTCCGTGATGCTCATCCTCGCAGTCGATAGGGACGCAACAGCTCGGCTCGACAACGCAACACAACGCCCCCCCACACCTGCGACATTCCCATCTCTCCTCCCGACGACCTCTGTTCCCGGCGGTGCAGACCTTGTTCGCATTGGTTCCTCTGCTCACGATAATCCACCGACCCCTCAAAGTACCTCACAACAAACCGCCATCATGTCGAACCAACCGTTGACCGACGACCAAGTGAGCCAGCTCCCACACCAGCTTCGCCTCTGAACGGGGAGCTATCATAGCCATCTTCTACAAGGAAGGCGTTTTCAGGCCAAGCATGAATGCTGACACGCTGACCCCTACTCTCGCAGGTCGGCAATGAGCTCCGCAAGATGACCGCGTTCATCAAGCAAGAAGCCATGGAGAAGGCCCGCGAAATCGAGATCAAGGCCAACGAGGAGTTCGCAATCGAAAAGTCTAAGCTCGTCCGCCAGGAGACAGATGCGATTGACACGGCCTACGAGAAGAAGTTCAAGCAGGCCACCATGTCGCAGCAGATCACCGCGTCCACCGTCGCCAACAAGACCCGTCTCAAGGTCCTGGCCGCCCGCCAGGAGCTCCTCGACAACATCTTCGAGGCCGCCGGAAAGAAACTCGCCGACGGTGTCAAGGACAAGTCGAAGTACCAGGGCATTCTCAAGAACCTCATTCTCGAGGGCTTCTACGGCCTCAACGAGTCCGAGGTTCAGATCCGCGCGCGGAAAGCTGACTACGATGTTGTGAAGAAGGCCATTGACGAGGCGGCCAAGGAGTACAAGAAGAAGACGAGCAAGGACGTCACAGCGACCATCGACCAGCAGAACCCTCTGCCTGAGGGAAGGTAGGCTACCCTTTCCCCTTTCGCTTGAGCCCTTCCTACAAGTTCGGACGTGCATCGTGATGGTGGCTGACCCAATGTGCACCTACAGCAAGGGCGGCGTGTCCATCGTCGGAACCGGCGGCAAGATCGAGATTGACAACACTGTTGAGCAGCGGCTAAAGCTGCTGGAGGACACTGCCCTGCCGGCCGTGCGAGAGACGCTCTTCGGCAAGAACCCCAACCGCAAATTCTACGACTAAGCGTGGGCCACGCGCATCACGTCTCCTCTCTTAAGCCCTCTCGCTGCCCTGTTCCGCAGCACCAATTGTTCTCTCCATGTCGATGGACCGATGCCGCTGAACGGGTCGGATCGCCTGCTTTTGTACCTTAGATGCTGTATGATCATTCACCAGCACTCGTCCGTAGCCAGGGTCAGCAAGTCATCAAGTCATCATTATAACTACCACACTACCCTTGCGCCTATCATGAAAGTTCACCGACCGCCGTCATGAACGAGTCTTCTGCCCCCGAGGCATCGTCTGAGCCAGCCGTGGATCTCCGACGTTCTTCGTCTTTAAGTACATCTGGTCTTGGCGGCTTCTTCAAAGCGCTAATAAACTTGTTCATGAATGCTTTCTGTGTCTCTGTCGCCACCTCCTTGCGCTGCTCAGGCAGCTCAAAGATGTTTCGCTTGGGCGGAGGTTTCGTTCGTACTGCGTACGTCAAGCGCTTCTGCGCACAATCGATCGAGTTCTTCGCCTCAGTTCGCGATAGGTAGGCAGCCCCGGAATCGTTGATACTGCCCCATATAGTCTTCAGCTGCTGAGCCAGGTGGTCGACTTCGGCGTCAAAGGCTGCGGCGGCATCGTAGGATGTACTACCGGGGTAGAACGAGCCGTCGTCGAGTGCAATGTCGAAAAGCTGGATCTGCGCCCTCAGCTCTACGTAGTCTGTCTTCCTCTTGATATGGAACTCGTCGCCCTTAAGGCGGTGCATAGCTTCTGGGATGAATCCCTGGTCATCTGGATGTTGCCTTGCGAGTGTTGGGTCTCCGAGGAAGCACGCCAAAGCCAGCCGCCGCCGCAACTCTCGCGATTTGCGTGTTGTAGGGACGATCTGCTGAATCGACGCCAGGCGTAACGAGCTGGTATCAAATGCAGTCCAAAGCGAGGCACAGGCGTGTTGACACTAATGCGGTGTTAGCTTGGCTGCAAAGACACTTGCGGTGTAGAAGAACCCACAAAGTCATCCCAGTCAGTCCCGTCAATAGCTTCGACCAAGGAGGTCAAGGCTGTCTGGTGAACTATTCGAGTCTCAATGGCACTCATGAGCGTCCTATCCGCCGCCATGCGCAGCAAGGTGACTACAGCGTACTTGACGGACTCGGGTCTCAAATTGCCCGCCACTCGCTGCAGCCAGTTGAGGTATGTACGCAGTCCCGACCAATCTCTGCCAGCATACGCATTCCGGTCTTCCTGCACAAGATGGACCTTCTCATCATCAATATCGTCTGCAGCATCCATGCAGCCCAACAGCTCACGTAGACGTCCGGGCGTGACAAGCTCCCGGATTTGACCTGCATTGGCACTGAGAAGATGGGAATATGCCACTTGAAGGGGCCTCTTCTCCCCTTCGATAGCCATCAACATCCAGAAAAAAATCTCATCAGGTAGCCTGAGCCGGCTGGCGACGCATTGCAGCATGTTGCTCTGCAAATGCTGCCTGCGAGTTCCCTGTTTGGCCAGCAAGGCCCACGGGCCCAGAGCGGCATGTTGGGGAAACGGCGGTGGGTGCCGCAATGGCCGGGCTTCCGATGAAGATTTTCCCGTTTTGAAGAAATAACACCTGCTGTTGGTCGACGTGGCAGCTTCTGTTCGCTCCATGGCGCGCATAGCCTTGCCAGCTACCTCCTTGTCGTTGACGCCGGCAACACTGATAAATTTCCTGCGGGTAGTATTCGGACTGGGAGGTGGTGCGCAGTTGATGCCTGGCAACGCACTTCCCGCCTCGGGTCTCAAGTCTGCGCTCTTCTCTTCACCGTCGCCGTCCAGTCTAGACGAGCTCGCGGCGATGGCTTCATCTCGCCTTTGGTGTTCCATCAGTGTTTTCATGTCGAACATGGGTCTCGGAGGAGCTGGCGCGGGTGATTTTGCACCCGGCCTTCGACGACGCAGTCTTGTCCTTGGAGAAGCAGCTTTGCCTACGAGGCCCGGCAGCACGTCTGGCTTTGATGTACGTGACAAGAGCATCTCAAGGTCGGGCAAGGAGCAGTCGGATGAGTCGTCATCCTCGTCATCCGACCCCTTGATTTCCAAGTCGCGGCTGAACGCTTCCCTCGTCATCGCTGTAGATGACGGTGGCGAAGACGCCGCTAATAACGGCGAAGACAGAAGGTCTGGCAGTGATAGAACGCTTCCCGATAACGTGGATGGCTCGCCCCGTGAAGGACTGGTCCTGGCGGACTTGAGGCGGTCTTTTTTGGGGGAGAGGAGCGCATAGTCCGCTGTTCGTTTGCTGGTGGCAGAGTCACTGATCCTTGTGGCGAACAAGGTTCGCGTGGGGCTTGGAGGCGCGTACCCAAGGTCGAAGGACTGTTTAGGGTCTATCACGACCGGCGTAGACGGTCGTCTCACGAGCGGAGAGGAAAATATTGACGTCGAGTCGTGTGTCATCCTCTTGGGCGTGCTGGTCTGGCTCAGCCCTGCTTCTGATGGAGCCTTGCATGTTGGAATGGATGAAGGTGGTACAGATGCAGGCGCGGCAGGTAAAGACAGCTCAGCAGCGGCGGCGGCAGCAGTAGTAGAAGAAGACGAAGAACTGGCAGTGGGTGGTGGTGATCGCGACCGTGACCGAGTCGGCAGTCGCTGTGCGTTGTCAGAGCGTGCCTGAAGATGTCGTGGTGGTTTTCGCGATGTTGGTTTGGCAAGAATCTTCCTTCCTTTGCGCTTTTCGTTTGCTGGGACGCCCTCCACAGAAGACCCAAGGTTCTGGTCAGAATGACTTGATTGCGAACCGCCGAGATCCGTCTGACCACTGGCCAGCCGAGGTGCCGTCTTGAAGAAGCCCGAGATCTTGCTCTGCTTGTGAGACATGGTGAGAGGTTATGTTGGGACGCCCGTCAGCCTGCAGCCCGATGGGCAGCGCTAAGTACTCGCTGGATGAGTCGAATAGCGGGCGAAGAAAGGCGTCTCGCTACATTCTGAAGACTCGAGATTTGAGATTGAGGTGACCAGTCTATTGATGCCTTGATGATGCGAGGTCTTTGACTGCAGGTGCGGTAGCCCCCCAGGCACACGCGCGCATCGCGTCAGCCAGACCACTGCGACAACCACTTTAATTGTGGTCCTATCTTATCAGGGCCGTTTCTGCGTCTACGGCGGAATAGGCTTAGCGCCAAGCAGCGCCCACTTGGCTTAGGTAATCGGCCTGCCCCGCCATCTGGCGCCCCCCTGGAATCCATCTGTCCATAAGGTACCTAGGGACCTGATGAGCGCCAACATTTGGGATGCCTCGCGACAACCGCGACGCACAGGACCACACGAGGGGCAACTTATGCCTTTCACGAGCATAAAATTTACAGTGGTGCTCATGTTGCACGGCTGCCTGTCAGGGGACCATCGTCCGCGTGGCGCAGCTGCGCCGGTGTGACGCCTAACCTTGCATCTCATCTCAGATTTGGCCAACTGCCTTTCTGGCGCACGCCACACCGCAAGCTGAACAGGCAGGCTGTTTATTCTCTCTCGCTCGTCCAACCAGTCCGACTTTTGAGGTGCGTTTGCGCAGCTCTCATGTCGACCGAAATGCCAAGACGTCAGACAGCCACGGTGAGTGGTCGTACCGCCAGTCTCCGCCTCGCCTGGCGAAGGGGAAGAGGGGAAGAGGGGGGGGGGGGGGGGGGGGAACAGACCAGGGAAGCGAGATCTACCACAGCATCTGCCTTTCTAATTCAGGGGGTGCCCAGACCTGGGGGCGCCCAACGATCCCATCTCTTTCAAACGAGTGTGCATAATAAAGCTCATCACGCATGTGCGCAGTCATCGTTGCAGTGGGCGTGAGATGGCGCTGGCAGGGTACATGTAGACCACGGAGAACCTTGGGGACAAGACTGGTCCTGAGGGATCTCGCCAAGACGAGAAATGAGGTTCGGTCGCAAAGGCGAACAAGCATCGCTTTCCGGCTGCTCCTTTCACGATCCGGGACCTTCGGCTCTCAAGGAACAAGTGCCAGATTCGGGGATCCGGTTTTAGGTGGACAGGCAATTGAGCAAGTACTTACCGGTAGGTCACATCCCAGTGCCATGTTTGACAGGGATACAAGGCGATGGGCGAGGTGAAGACACAGGGCAGGACCCAAGACCTAGGGCACTCGTGCACCATCCCTTCTTCCATTCCCTTCCGTGCCGCACTAGTGATCGGGAATGGACGACAAGATGGCCGCCACTGACCGGCACCTCATCGTCCATGATTGTCAAAGAAAGGAGAAGTAGAAATTGTGGAGTTGTTGCAGACGAGGGCAGAGGGAGAAGGGCGACTCGGGGCCAAAGACAGGGGAGGGGAACGGTTGCGGGGGGACGTTTGGCTTTCTCTGTCGCCTGAACCCGCTGTCATGGAAGGCAAGCCAAGGTGGCCACCCACCTACCTTTACCTCAGGTAGGCAGGTCGGAATAGCGCGACACCTCCGGCCCCCAGATGCAGCATGAGGAGGAGCGCCGACTGACCGCAGGTCCGCAACACGCGACGTGATGACCAACTATCCGCGTACTTCGGACTTCGCATGGCGGAGCCAATGAAAGAGGCAATGCAGCTTTGCTGTGAACCCGCGCGAACCGGCCTGTTCTGTGGCTGTTTTTGGTGGCACGGGGAGGAAACTAATAGGACCTGACGGATCGGATCGGCGCTGGAGCCCAGGAGACCCTTGGAAAACCCCCCTCCTCTCCCCCAAGGAGCAACGGTCGAGGCGGGACCGGCGGACATCTATATCGGACTGACGTGACTGGTTCTGCTGCTCCAATGATTCGGCGCGAGCGACGTGGTGGACGACGTTACTTTAATCGCGGGAGTCATGGGTGCTTTCGTCAAGAACACCGTGGTCCAAATCGCTTGCACGGGCGCCCGCATCAAGGGTGCTTGGCTGATGCCCCCTATCGCTTGTCATAGAACGTGAGGCATCCCTTGAGTGCCCAGATTTGGCCTCAGTACATAAAATGATCACCGCCTACCTACCTAAAGAGCTTTGATCCACATATAAGCAGGTACTGCACTAGGTCAGTACACGATGGAGGGCCGGTACGTCTGTGAAACAGAGGCATCAAGATGTACAGTTCGCCATGTCCTTTAATTCAATTGGCGACATTTACTTCCTGCTACATGTACTTGGATGTCGAACATTCGAAAGTACTGAGGCTGGATTAGGGCATTAAAGGGATGAAGGGAAACCCCTGGCTGAGCACCAGCCCATCCACGCAATAGAGCGAGTTCAACAAGCATGCCCAGCCCCTACTGCCCAGCGTGTCACGACATTGCTCCATTCCAGCGCATGGTTGCTGGCCTTGCCGTGTCAAATAGCGAGCGAATCACGACCCAAGCCTGTTTGAGTTTACAAGATGCCCATGTTGCTTGTGGCGACGCAGGAATGTGAAAGACTCTGGGGGAGAATGGTTTCTCTGCGCGGTTGCACTGTAGAACCATGGTCATGGCGCCAGGGCTGTGAAAAAGCTTGGTGCCATGCCCCCTTAAATGGCCATTGCTCTAGCCGGTTCCAGTCAAGGAAGACAACAGTTAGACGAGGCAGACCGACAGTACCGCCAAGCATGTGGCCGCAGGTGGGTGAGGAGTGCGTGTGCGGACTTTCGGCGTCGGGGATTTGGTGGGTTTTTTACTCGGGGCCGTTCTATTTCCCATGCAGACCAAGGCGCGCATAAGGTGGAGGACTCGGGCTCCGTATGCCGCCCGCCATTGCCTATCCTCGTTTAAAGCAGGCCGACGCCATTTCGTGGGCCCTGGACTGCACCGAATTTTCGATGTGCTTACCTTGAGAAACCTGGAAGTGCCCGAATTGCCCGAAGAAAAATAAAACGAAATTGCTCTCCCCGACTCGACGCGTGCGCGTGGCCTGTGCCTCTGCTGCCGTGGAGCCTGACGGAACCTGTCTTCCCCTCAAATGGTACCCATCTTCGGTTGATACCGAATGTTCGTGCAAAGGGGTTCATACGTAGGCGGTGGAAGGAAGGTGGCTAAGGTTGGGACGGATGAGCTTATTCCAAGGCGATCTCAACATGGTGTCAACCACCCAAGTGCGAAACGTCCAATGAACTCTGATGACCACCCATCCAGACGCCGGTTGCAGCTAAGATCAACAGGGCTGAGAAGGCGGAGGTGTCTACGTGGAAGCTGTGGAAGCGGCCAATTCTTCCTCCTCGTTGGCATTTTTCTTTGGACCCTGGTTGATTCTCGAGACAACAGAGTAAGAACTTTGACGGGGGCGCCGGAGTCTTTAGCAGCGATGAAGGCCGACGAAAAGACGACACTACTGAGTTGCGCGGGACAATACAAAGATCCATGGCTGCGGATTACCAATGACCGTGAAGGAGACGAAGATTTGATGCAGCCTGTGAGAAGTGGCTCTTTCGGAGTCTTCTTAGTCTCCGGGCCATCCGGTGCCCGCGAGCACCAGAATCGATTTACACGGGGTCGGCTGCTGGGGGTTGTCGTAGTCCACTGAAAGTTCCCGTAAGCCTCCCGAAGCCTCCGCTAGAGACACTGTCCACGGTCCCTGGGGCCGCTGAGCAATAATCCACACCCTGCATGGGCTGTGAGGATTGCGCGCCTGCTAATTGTCCACTGTGCGGCACCTCGCACCTCCCCCCTTCTTCCCATGCTCCTACTTCCACCCTCGAACGCGGGACCCACCAACTGGCGGGCTGGGCAATCACGAAAACGAGTGCCAGCCAGAGGTTGAGGTGGAGACACGGCGGGTGACTGGAGCGAGGAAGGGGGGAAGGTCGCGCTTTCTCCACTCTGCGCGCGAGGGACGTTGGCTGGCTGACTTTCCTCACCTGGCTTATCTGGCTTACCTGGGAAAAGGGAAGTCACTACCTCTGTCATCAAACACCAATGCACCGCCGTCTGGCCCTCCCTGCTCCTGCTCCTGCTCCTGCTCCTGCTCCTGCACTTGCTCCGTGCTGCCCGTCAGTCCCGTCCCATCCCATGCCCCTACCTTGCCAAAGCACACAGTGAGAGAGAAGGAGGCCCATACCACCCATCACTCATCCCAATCCTAGCCCAGCCAGCCTACCTAGTCGGTCATCCACTTCGAGTTCCCGCGCCGCCCCTTCAGCCAAAAT